AAACTGATATTAATCAGCAGCTTTTTAATTGGTCAGATGTCACTGGGTCATAAAATGTTATTAGAGTATGTTACCGCAACTTGTGACCCTCTCTGGTGCGATATTTGTGTATTATGCAATTATTTAGCGTGAAACGTAGGGGTCCGATTTATGACAATTTGTTTGATGCGGGTCGGACTAACTTTGAATCGGCATAACTTTTTTAATAATCAAGCAATTAACATGCGGTTTAAAGCACATGAAAGGAAATTCATTTACGGAGGGAACCGTGTCAGGGATTTTTGTTTGCTCAATAGGCGACCTAATTATCTTTAATTACGTAATATGTATGGTGAAAAAAGTCGCATAAAATGTTTGACGTTACGTAATATTTTTTTGAGAAAAGATAGAAAAAATTTGAGACACGGTTCCCTAGATAATATAAGTATGGTTATTTTCAAAAAGTTTGATGACAAAAAATTAAAAAATGACTTTGATATGACGATTTAAAATTTTAGGATTTTTATTCAAAAACAATCATTTACAAAGGCATTTTTTTCAAATATATTATTTTTTATGATGATCAACGACATTTAATGCACAAAGATAAAAGAAATAACAATTATTACTAAAATAACTTTGTTTAAATGACATTTATGTGAGTACCACGGAAAGTGTCTGTTGTCACCTTAATGCTTTATGCTCTTGTTTACCAAATTATGCAAGGCATCCCTATTAAATCTGTTGTGAGACTTTAATACAACTTCTAGCAGAGTCTGGTAATCGTGTATATGATGAAACTAGCCAATATATGGGATGTAACTTACATGAAGCTTTTTGTCTAGTAGACATCTATAAAGTTCTTTCAAACGTTCAAAATAGACTCAGTCTCTTGGAACACTTGAATTAACATAGACTTGCATTGGAAAAGAAACGAGTGTTTTTCGGGTTTTCTGTCCATAACTGAATGGGTATATCTTTTCTGAAAATTTGTTACTGACAAGAATCTGGGCTTACCAAACATGTTCTTGTTTTCAATAAAAGATATATATATCAATTTTAACCTTACCAATCTGGTTTTATGTAAAAGACTCGTCCATTTTGAATTTTATACTGTCAATTCAAAGTTTTATTTCAATACAAAAATTGAGCTACCAATAGTACAGAGCCTTGTCAGACTGCAAGGAAGCACAAATCAAAGGCTTATCACTTAAAATTCAGATGCATGCATCTAACATATTGTATAGTTTATACTTCATAAATTTATAGATTTATTTTTGCCGTCTGTTGCAGACTTGTCTTTTGATTTAGAATGTAATATTATACCTTGTAAACAGAACTTCAAGAAACATTTTGTTGTTCTGTATTCATACCAGTATTAAAATGTTACTGCCACTTCTTTGTAAGTTGTTGAATCAGAGGTGGTGTTTGAGTGGCTGAATACATGTATAATTGTCACACTAGCATGACACTGAAAACACATCTTAGATTGAATCTGGAAAACATGATGTTTGTAGACTTACAGGTCTTCCTATAAACATAATGAGGCTGATATTGCTGGAAGTCATAATCAATATTTCATCTTATATCACACAACATGTATATAGTTGTTTATATGATGAAGAATTTAGTAAACATGGAAGGCTTCATTTCTCCACTTGTAAACAATTACTGTGTGTCGTAAAACTATTACAATGGTAAATTTGCATGATGTTGGAACTGACATTGTCATTGTGAGGGATGTTGATGTTAATATAACTAAAAGTAAAGAATTTGGTCAGACTGCAAGTTTTTGAAGGCGGCTAAGTTAAAGGCTCTATAATGATCGCATTAACAATTTGTCTTTTGCTGCCAGCATTCAGAGTGTTGAAAGCAGTGTTATCATTTTATGCTTTACAAAGACAATTACTTTTTATGCTCCCCGAAAAATTTCGGGGGGAGCATATAGTCGGCGCCTTGTCCGTCTGTCCGTCCGTGGTCTTGTCCGGAGCATAACTTGAAAACCCTTGGCGATAATTTGTTTAAACTTCATACAGTGGTAGAGGGCATTAAGGGGGAGTGCAGTGTCAAAGAACCATAACTCTATTTTGCCCGGTTTTTGAATGATCTCCCCTTATAGAAAATCTTGTCCGGGGCATAACTCTAAAACTATAAGAGATATCAACATGAAACTTTGTAGGTGAATAGATCTCAATGGGTTGATGTGCAGTGCATAAGAACAATAACTCTTTTTGTCCTAATTTTTGAGTTATTGCCCTTTGTTAATTTCAACACTTTGAACTTTGTCTGGAACATAACTCTAAAACTATAAGAGATATCAAGATGAAACATTGTAGGTAGATAGATCTCATTGAGTAGAAGTGCAGTGCAAAAGAACCATAACTCTGTTAAGCCTCATTTTTTGATCACCTGTCACTTTGTGACAGGGTGAGCTTTTGTGATCGCTTTCGTCCGGCGTCCGTCTGGCGTCCGTAAACATTTACTTTAAATGACATCTCCTCATAAACCACTAAGCCAATTTCATCCAAACTTCACAGGAATGTTCCTTTGGTGGTCACCTTTGAAAATTGTTCAAAGAATTTAATTCCATGCAGAACTCTGGTTACCATGGCAACCAAAAGAAAAAACTTTAAATATCTTCTTCTAAAAAATCCAAAGAGCTAGAGCTTAGATATTTGGCATGAAACATCTTCTAGTGAGTGTCTACCAAGTTTGTTCAAATAAAAGCCCTGGGGTCAAAATTGGCCCCGCCCCAGGGGGTCATTGATTTTCCCTATATGTATATAGTAAAAACTTAAAAAATCTTCTTTTAAAGAACCCAAAGAGCTAGAGCTAAGATATTTAGCATGAAACATCTTCTAATGGGTGTCTACCAAGTTTGTTCAAATAAAAGCCCTGGGGTAAAAATTGGCCCCGCCCCAGGGGGTCATTGATTTTTCCTATATGCATATAGTAAAAACTTAAAAATCTTCTTTTAAAGAACCCAAAGAGCTAGAGCTAAGATATTTAGCATGAAACATGTTCTAATGGATGTCTACCAAGTTTGTTCAAATAAGAGCCCTGGAGTCAAAATTGGCCCCGCCCAGGGGGTCATTGATTTTCACTAGATGAATATAGTAAAAACTTAAAAATCTTCTTTTAAAGAACCTAAAGAGCTAGAGCTAAGATATTTATCATGAAACATGTTCTAATGGATGTCTACCAAGTTTGTTCAAATAAGAGCCCTGGGGTCAAAATTGGCCCACCCCGGGGGACATTGATTTTCCTTATATGTGTATAGCAACTTAAAAATCTTCTTCGAAAAAACCCGAATAGCTAGAGTGTAGATATTAAGCATGAAACATCTTCTAGTAACTGTCTACAAAGATTGTTCAAATAAAAGCCCTGGGGTCAAAACTGGCCCTGCCCCAGGGGTGTCATTGTTTTTGAATATATGTGTAAAGAAAAAACTTAAAAAATCTTCTTTTAAAAAAACCCCAACGAGCTAGACCTTAGATGTTTAGCATGAAACATCTTCTAATGGTTGTCTACCAAGTTTGTTCAAATGAAAGTCCTGGGGTTTAAACTGGCCCCGCTCCGGGGGGCCTATATACAGGTGACCGACTTCAGGGCCATCATGGCCCTCTTGTTGAATTATCTCCCCTTATAGAAAAATCTTGTCCGGGGCATAACTCTAAAACTATAAGAGATATCAACATGAAACTTTGTAGGTGAATAGATCTCAATGGGTAGATGTGCAGTGCATAAGACCAATAACTCTTTTTGTCCTAATTTTGGAGTTATTGCCCTTTGTTAATTTCAACACTTTGAACTTTGTCCGGAACATAACTCTAAAACTATAAGAGATATCAAGATGAAACATTGTAGGTAGATAGATCTCATTGAGTAGAAGTGCAGTGCAAAAGAACCATAACTCTGTTAAGCCTCATTTTTGAATTATCTCCCCTTATAGAAAAATCTTGTCCGGGGCATAACTCTAAAACTATAAGAGATATCAACATGAAACTTTGTAGGTAGATGTATCTCAATGGGTAGATGTGCAGTGCACGAGAATCATAACTCTGCCTTGCCTAATTCTGGAGTTATTGCCATTTGTTTATTTTTACTTTTTGAATTTGTCCGGAACATAACTCGGAAACCATAAGAGATATCAACAAGAAACTTTGTAAGTTGATAGATAACAGTGATTAGAAGTGCAGTGGAAAGAACAGTAACTCTGCCTTTCCTAATTTTGGAATTATTGCACTTTGAACTTTTTCCAGGGACATAACTCTGAAACTACAAGAGGTGTACTTTCCTTTGTCCAAAACCTATTCGGGGAGCATCACCCGGCTCAAACCGGGCTCTTGTTATCCTTAATTCTTGACTTTAATATTCAAAGAATGATAGTGCTATAATATTCATTCCTGGATTTGCATAACACTCCTTAACTCCTAAAACCTTTAAGCATTTTTTACTGAAACTCTTTTGTCAAATACAAATTCCTGGGATTACAAGTTTACCCAGACAGTATTTATTTTAAATGAATACTAAAAAAAAACACATTTCTATTGTCCTTTTTGTAAGATGGATATGTCTGTGCAACAACTTTTGTTACTGTGAAGTTTTAAATGTATGAAAGAAATTCTCAGGTTGCTTCTAAGACAACAAAGTTTTTGCATATTTTGTGCATTAGTGTTATTGTCAGTGAGGGGATTATGTATGTTGTACAACAGATTTATGAGCTAAGGTGTTTTATGTGTTATTGTGTTTTTTTACCAACAAAGATTATATGAGAGCATGTGTAATGTATGTAACTATGTAATAGTCTAGCAGTAAATCTGGAGTTAATTAATGGTTAAATTCCAGATAGTATGTCAGTTCTTTGTACATGTTTGTGTATATTTGTAAAATAATATAAAAAAAAGTTGGGGAGGGGGACTTTTTATTCATGAAAAATACTTGATTTAATGATGCAAAACAGGGTATTATGAATGAAACAAGTGGTTGTCGATTTTATTTAATTAATCAATTTTGATTTTTGCAGAAAGAAGTTTAAGACACGATCTGGTCAAACAGTTCAACTGGCAGGTTTACTAGATGAGGGTCTGGCACGAGCTGAACAAAAACTTAAAGAGAAGGAAAGAGATAAGGTAGTTGATATTGACAATTACATTACAAGTGATATTTCTGTTTATAGTACTATTATTGTACAGGTTAACAATTTGAAGCTACAGGTGGTGTTTGATGTATAATTAATGTACTGAAGTTCTGGTTGAACATTATTATAGTGGTCAAAGGTATTCTGATAATCAAATGTAGCCTCCCACCTTGTAGGTCAGTCATTTTCTGTCATTTATTCACATTCAGATCATTACACCAGAGGTCACATTATTTCATTTATTATTCATTATGAAACTTTGTCTGAATTCCTCCCTTAATGAAAAATGGATCAATTTTGAAAAGAAAATAGTTATGGTCAAGAACAAGACCAGTGGCTGAATTCTGTGACAACTTTTCTGTTAATTTTGCCTTATCTAGATACAAATAAAAAAGAAAAACCAAAACAAAGTAATTGATTGTAATGGTGTAAACCGAAAGTCGGAAATTTGTAGCTAATAACATAATGTCTCACTGAAGAAAAGATTTTTGTCTGGTAATGGTTTTTCCAATTGGGAGAAGACTTCTGTTATTTTCTTCATCATGGCAGATATCTTTAAAGCAGCTCACCTTAAGATTTTTGATTTATTTATTTTGAAAACTTGAAAACTATTTTATTAAGTTAATTTTTTGTAAGTGTCAGGCCTGTATTTCCTTATATACTTACTACTGGTAAAGGGAGGCATTCCCATTGATATAACATTTTTTAATTAAGAGGTACATGTATAACATTTCCAATTGTCAGTCTGTGGTAATTTTTGACATATTTGTGATCAAAAGGGAATCCCTTGAAATTATTTTTACAAGAAAATATTCACATAAAGGCTATCAATAGAAGCTATTCTGTTATTTATTAACTTGTTGAGCCAGAGTAGTTTCTATTTGCTACTCTAAAATTCCAAATGTTGACTTCAGCACTTTTTTTTTCACCCCAAATCCAACATTTGTGGTGGAATTCCCTAAATGTTGAAAAAAAGGCCCAAGTATACAATGTAAATTAATGTAAGTTTGATAATGCAAATGCTGCCAACAAGATGTCAAATTATACAGAAATAACCCTGATTCAGATAATAAATGGTTAGAAAATGGTAATGACAATAGTAAATTTTGTCATATTTTGCATAAAACATGCAAAGTGTCATTTTGATCATAAATATTTATTCAATTCTTCAATTTTATTCCTTCAGTTTGGTTTTTCAAAAAAAACAACAACATACAAACATACTTTAATACCTTCTTGAGATTTGGATCTTTAATTGGGGTTGCAGACATCATCAACTGATACATCCGACCATGGTCTGCACACTATATTCTTCAGTCATTACATCCAAAAAATGATAGTTTATTGTCCCTCATTGAGTAAATGAGTCTCTCACTTAGTTTATTGTCCCTCATTGAGTAAATGAGTCTCTCACTTAGTTTATTGTCCCCCATTGAGTAAACGAGTCTCTCACTCACTTTATTGTCCCTCTTTGAGTCTCTCACATAGTCTATTGTCCCTCATTGATTCTCACTTAATTTATTGTCCCTCATTGAGTCTCTCACTCAGTTAATTGTCCCTCATTGAGTAAGTAAGTCTTACCCAGTTAATTGTCCCTCATTGAGTCTCTCACTCAGTTAATTGTCCCTCATTGAGTAAAAAAGTATCTCACTCATTTTATATGTCCAGCATTGAGTAAATAAGTCTCTCACTCAGTTTATTGTCCTTCATTGAGTAATTGAGTCTCTCACTCAGTTGATTATCCCTAATTAAGTCTCCGTTATTGTGTCCGTCATTGAGTATTGTCCCTCATTGAGTAAATGAGTTTCTCACCCAGTGTATTGTCCCTCTTTGAGTCTCTCACTAAGTCTATTGTTCTGTTGTCCCTCATTGATTCTCACTCAGTTTATTGTCCTTAAATGAGTCTCTCACTCAGTTAATTGTCCCACATTGGGTAAATAAGTATCTTTCTCATTTTATATGTCCAGCATTGAGTAAATGAGTCTCTTGCTCAGTCTATTGTCCCTCTTTGAGTCTCTCTGCACTCAGTCTATTGGTTTATAGTCCCTAATTGATTCTCACTCAGTTAATTATCCCTCATTGAGTAAAAAAGTATCTCACTCAGGTTATATGTCCAGCATTGAGTAAATGAGTCTCTCACTCGGTTTATTGTCCCTCATTGAGTAAAAGAATTTCTAACTCAGTTAATATTCTCCCATCCCTGATTGAGTCCCTTAGTAAATGTGTTGTTCCTAAATCAGTTTCAGTGTCTACACTTAATAAATATGTTCTTCATTCAGGAAATATCTTTCTATAAATGTCTCTCCTCTCAGTAACTGTTTGCATTCAATAAATGTCTCCACTCAGTTAAATGTGTTCTCAGCATTAAGTAAACGGTTGTCCCTCAGTAAATGGCATTCAGTAAATGTCTCCACTGTCTCCACTTAGTAAATGTGTTGTCCTTTATACCATAAAATGATTGTTTATATTTTAGGAATTGACTAAAGAGGAGCTAAAGGCAGCACAAGAGGCTGTAGCGTATGGCTGTATAAAATATGCTGATCTTTCTCATAACCGGATTCATGATTATGTATTCTCGTTTGACAAGGTACGCTATATAAAATTAATTTAACTGTTTTTATCACATTTTGAAAAAAAAGTACAGCATTGAATTATTAAACTTAGTAAAATCAATACAAGTATTGCTTAAACATCAATACATCTGTCTTAATTTTTTGTTGGAGTACATATATTTATTAAGCACTGTTTAAAAACATGTTTCATGTAGTTTAACATGATTGATATTGAATATTGCTAAGATAGTTCTTACCTATCCAGAAAACTTTTCTCTTGCTAATTTAAAACAATATTTAAAAAATGAAATTATAAACAATGGTGACACTTTTTACATCTTGATATTAAAGAAATTAGAATTTCTATAGTTATTATATACAAAATGATGTATTGGTTTTGTTCAGTATACAAGAGGAAACTTTAAATGTTTTTGGAGCCAGTCTGTTTGTTATTATCTCTATTCCCGGATGAATAATTCAATCTCTGGGGGAAATTGGATGTGCATCTAGTTTATCGTATATTTCAGATGCTTGATGACCGTGGAAACACTGCCGCTTATCTCCTGTATGCATACACAAGGATAAGGTTAGAATACATTTTCATTTCACTGCCAATCAAAGTCAAAATTATTGAATATTCCGTGTTACCATTTTGATTTACCATTCATATTTACAAGTGAGCAAGTCTTGCCAAAAAGCTTCACTTATTTTTTCCATTAAAGTTTGGTGGCAAATAAAAAATTTAAAGTTTGGTGGCAAGTAAAAAATTTTAATGACTATTTCAAGTTAAGCCACTGAATTACAATACACTGTCATGTGACATGTTTAAGTTATCAATTATAACAAAGTAAATTTAGAGACACCCACTGTCTTAACCAAAATAAATGGCATGTACCAAGTGACCTACATTGGTGTTATTTAGCATGTTTTTAAATTGTTGCACTTGTACACTGCTAGATGCCACATGAACTGATTACATGATATTTTGTTAGCAAAGACAAAAAAGTGTTATAATGTTACATGATAATGGGGATACTCTTACTTTTTTGAATTTGAAGGAAATATTTGTAAAATTAAGTTATGCATTTCTTAAGTTTTTCTATAAACGTTGTAGTTAAAACAGAACGAGTCAAATTGTAGTTTAGATGTTTTTGTTCTTATGTGTCCATTCCATGCTTGATGAGTAAATGATTTCTGTTTAAAGGCCAGTTGTTTCAAAATTGATAGTTGTAAATCAAGGTTTCTGTATCTATACATATGTATGTGACATGACCTGCTTGAAGATGAAGCACTTGTTGTTGTTATGTTTACAAATTCAATGATCAAATATAGTTACATTTTCTGTGATAAACCTATAATTAGTCGCCTCAGGAAGTCCATATACATGACAAAATTCTAAATAGTGTTACTAATTCTGTAATTTTAGAGGGTAGTGCAACTTATACAGAGATTTCAGTTTTCCAGAGAATACATTCACTTTGTTCGAAATGTCTCATCTAAAAGTTAATTTTATTGGAGTTGATTGGGATCAATCTCTCTTTGGCTACATCTTATTCTCACTGACCTTGTAACACTCTCCCCTGTTTGAATCCTGCTGGGGACTTTGGATATATTTATCTGAGAAAGGTGGTTCTGCTCAGGTGCTGCTGAGGCTTGTACCTGGAATTCCTCCACCAGTAAAGCTGGAAAGTCACCATATGACATTTACAGTGTCATTGTGACATTAATCAATCAATCAATCAAACAAACATAGTGACAAGTCACAGTCCATTTTGTTATTGCTCCCCTCCTATGATTAAACCCCCTTAAACACATCTTGTGACTTGATAATAAAATAATCTATCTCTTGAATAATGAATACATCATTATTTTTAAGCCAATTACTTGTAAGATAGTTTGCCTCCAAGTGTATACTTTAGATAACAGAACTATTGATAATGAATGTTTTCAGGTCTATAGCTCGGACAGCTAAAGTAAGTCCTGAACAAATTCAGGCTTTTGTTCAAAGTGATGGTGTTCAACTAGACCACGAAAAAGAATTGAACCTAGCCAAATGTATAATTCAGTTTTCTGAAGTTATACTCAAATGTCTGGATGACCTTCTTCTTCACAGTCTCTGTGACTATCTCTATGAATTGTGTACAACATTTACAGAGTTCTATGATAAATGCTACTGTGTTGAGAAAGATAGAAAAACAGGTGAGATCTTTCATTACAATAATTTTTCTTATATAAATACAGCGTTTTGCGGGTTTGATGGAAATGCGGTCATATCTCCACAATGTTGCCATATGTGTTACAATTGTTATGCACTGTTATTTAATTCACTTAAAATATCTGAAAACTTAATTAGCGATAAGAGCTGATAATCAAACTACTGTTATGTCCCCATGGCTAAAATTAAAAAGAAGTTGTTACTCCCCTTCTCGGAGACACTTTAATTACAACAAATTAGTTCTTTTATTAACAAGTGTCATTGAACTCCTATCATTTCATGATATGTTTATTATATGAGCTTAGTAGAAAAAATTGTATATGTGATTCTATCAGACAACTTGAGGAAAAAACATAATCCTCTTTCTGTGCCCACACATCACATAACAGAATATTCTATTTTAGTGTCTGGTATTAATATTAGTATATTATTTATATTGAAATATTTATTTTGCCATTTCATAGTTCCATCAGAAGCTGATGCATTTAACATTTATATCAGTCTGATATGACCTCATAAAGGTCATCCCTGAACTATATTTACTGTAATGCACAGTCTTAAAGGTCTACAAGTATTTAACATCATATGTCAAATAAAAAAAAAATTTAGTTAAAAAATTTGTCCAATGGTTTGAATTTAAGTCTTGACAAACTTTTGTATGTGATTTGATTGGTCATGTTATCTATAGGATTCAAGGAAAACCTTGTTCTCACTCTAACACTTAAAACTGACCCAATCCTTTAATTTTTTTAATGTTAAGTGTCCAGTAAAAATTGGAGTGCTAAATGTTAACATTAAAATTTTGTCAGAGATGCAAAGTAAGTTGAGTGTATGAAATAATGAAAATTGTATAATTATTATGATATTTCTTGTTAGTCCTCTACCAGTCATAAGGTTTGCCTTCTTAACTCTGTCTGTCAGTCTGCACTACAAAGATAAATCATTAGTTATACATTGTGATCCTGAAAAAAAATGATCTTTTCATTATCTGTTGTAGAAACATATTTTCCTTATTAAGCAAGGAAGCTTAACACATTATGATGATACAGGCAAACCCTGAAGATTTACCTTCAAGTACTCGAAAGTAAATTTATGTCTTTCACAATGACATAATTGTAAGGCCATTCACTCTTGTTTTTATATAAAATTGTTGTTTGCAGTCTATGGTTCTCATTGCACTTTTTGTTTATACAATATCTATTTGTGTCCACTTCTTTGAACTTACCAGTTTCTGGTGTCAGTAAGAGCAGACCATATTTTGATCGCAGTCGGGATTGAACTCACAATTCCTGTGTTGAGAGGCGGACACCTTTACCATTCAGGTTATAGCTCCCCTGGTTTATAAGTATACAGGTATCTTTATGGATATCACTGTAGGACTTTGTTTTTATTTTACATTTCAGGAGAGATAGTGAAGGTGAACATGAGTCGTATCTTACTATGTGAAGCTACAGCTAGTGTAATGAGCAGCGGATTTCATATTCTAGGGATAACCCCAGTATCCAAAATGTGATCATAAACTTCATCACATCTCCTACATTTGCTTTTCATATAGTCCACAAAATTGGTATTTCAAGACTAAAAACAGATATAAAATATATTTATAATTATTAAGTTTTAACAAATCTTGTTTGTGAAAATAGAGAAATATAATTTCTTTGTTTATAACCAATATGTTTCATGGTAAAAAACTTATGTTAAAGTGATAAGTGGTGAAATATACCTTATAAATTATATCAATCATGTTGTATCCATACCCTAACAGTTGTATAATATATATGATATTTATTTGTGAAGATTTGTCATATATATAACATATGAACAATTGTATGTCATATCAAGAGAAGAAAATGGCAGTCAGATAATTAGTCCCTTAAATTATTTGTAATCATTATCATAGCAATCACTCCACAGACCACTAAAATAACATACTATAGTATGAGTTTATTACTTCCATTTAGTCTTAAAAACTATTACTAAAACTGTTGTTAACTTGAAAGAAGACTTGCATATTTCTTGTGGATTTCAAAAAGTTGAAGAGCAAAATAAACTGTAATAAAAAGATTTGACTTGTTTCTTTCATAATATGTCAGTGAAACATTTTTAGGAATAAGTACATGTAGAGCTATTGTAATCACCCAAGCGTCGGCGTAACCACTTATGTTAAAGTTTTTGTAATACCTCAAATATTTTCAAAGTCCATTGACTTATGGCTTTGAAACTTTGCACACTTTTTCACCACCTGTAGACAGGAGGAGGTAACTGTGTCAAGCACTTTGACAGAATTATGCCCCTTTTTCGACTTAGTATTGACATTAAAGTTTTTGTAATACCTCAAATATTTTCAAAGTCCATTGACATATGGCTTTGGAACTTTGCACACTGGTTCACCATTATAACCCCAACTTGTAGACAGGAGGAGGTAACTGTATCAAGCACTTTGACAGAATTATGCCCCTTTTTCGACTTAGTATTGACATTAAAGTTTTTGTAATACCTCAAATATTTTCAAAGTCCATTGACATATGGCTTTGGAACTTTGCACACTTGTTCACCATTATATCCTCAACCAGTAGACAGGAGGAGGTAACTGTGTCAAGCACTTTGACAGAATTATGCCCCTTTTTCGACTTAGTATTGACATTAAAGTTTTTGTAATACCTCAAATATTTTCAAAGTCCATTGACATATGGCTTTGGAACTTTGCACACTTGTTCACCATTATAACCCCAACCTGAAGACAGGAGGAGGTAACTGTATTAAGCATTTTGACAGAATTATGCCCCCTTTTCGACTTATTATTATATTAGTATCAGATATTTTCATTTATTTTCATTTTATTGAAACAAGTTGAAATTTTATACTCTTCTTTGAGAGCATAATAGGACTCTCCAATATAACTGTAACATGGATTTAAAGAAAAAAATTGTCCTTTTGTTATTAACTCTGAAAATTTTACATTATCAAGGCTATTTTACTATCAAGCACTAATCCCTAATCATTTCCCCTAATTATTTTTGGTTTCTCCAGCATTAAGCAAGATTAGCCCATTGAAATTAAATATTTATCATATTTTTCATCATTTAAAATCATGGTTGTCCCAAACTGTTTGAGACATTGTACAAGAAAGCACAGGGTCAAAATTTGGCAAAACTTGCCTGCCATGTTCCTTATTTCAAGTTCTACCAAAGTTGTTTAAATGGATCTTGATCTAGTTTGAAAAGTACATTGCATGTGGGTTGTAGGAGTGGTATTTGAAAAGAGAAAAAATGAATCAATCGGGATGGAAGCATGATCTTTATCATTGGTTACCGGCGATGGACCATTAGGAATTCTTCCAAGTGTACTTAAATTATGACCTTAAGAGTCATTTGAATTTTATCCTGGAAGGAAAGTGAAAGGGTGAGCTAAACAGTTGCAACCTTGTCAGTCCATAAATCGGCTCATTTGTCAAACCGTTGTCAAGAGAATAATTTAAATAGTGTACATGGAAATTCATGGAATCTTCTGACAGTGATAGAGACCAGTGAGAAGAATTAAGTACAGTGTCTTTACTTATCTGCTAAATCAAAGTCTTTGACTATTTGAAAAAAACCTGGCTAAATGATGCTTAATAATGTTTGTTGGGTGTGTAACTCCTAAAACCTAGAGAGCCCAATGAGAGGAAGTACACTGTTAAAGAAGTCATTCTGAATTTGCACTTGCTTACACACCCTTTAATTATTAACTTAATATATGTTTTTCATATTTTGTTGGTAGATACCTTTGATGGTCCTCTAATTTTTTGTAGGATGAAGATGTCATTTGGATTAGGTCACCTGTGTCAGTCCAAAATCTAAATCTGCAATGTCAAGAGCTAAGATGTTTGGCATGAAGTACTTCCAGTCTTGTTTCTACAACAGTTAAATAAATCATGCCCTTGGTGCCGGGGGTCGTTTAATTCATATGGACTTGAGTAAAAATATCTTAAAAGGTCTGCTAAGCAACTACAATGCTTAGATATTTGGCATGTAGCATCACATTATGCTGTATAAAAGTTATTAAAGTTGTATAAATCATATCCCTGGTGTTAAAATTGGCCTCGCCCTTTGGGTCAGGAAAATACATTTCAGTCTTCTTTTGTGAAACTACAACGGGGCGTTCATGGCCGAGTGGTTAATGTTGACTTCTAACCGCTGTATGTTCCAGCCACGAAATCGTCAGATTCTACATGTGAGAAACCTATCCAGCTAACTTATGGACGTTCCGTGGTTCTACTCAGGTACCCATTTGTGCCTGAATATAATATGTCTTCCTCCACCAGAAAAGCTGTAAAGTCGCCATATGACGGGTGCGACGTAAAATCCAACCAAAAAAAAGAGAAACGGGTTGTATAACCCCAAGAGCTTGGATATTTGGTATGTACATTGCCTAATGAACATCTACAAAAGTTATTTTAGGTCATACCCCTGAGGTCAAAATGGCAACACCCTTGGGGTCACTTAGTTTGCATTGACTTGTATAGCAAAAATATCTTTTAAATCTCTTTAAAGTACAATGCACAGAGTTTAGATATTTGGCATGTAGCATCACCTCGCAATCATGCCCCTGTGGTCAAAATGGGTTATTGCTCCAGTTTATATAGGTTTACATGGTAAAACAAATACAATGTCAAGAAGCATTTCATAGCTGACATCTGCAAATATTTTTAAAAATTTTGCAGTTTGGGTAAAAATGATATACCCAGTGTGACTTCATTACGGCCTTTAACATTAAAAAAATAAAAATTGTGACCATTTCGATTTGAAGCTATCTTTAGACATTATGACCCTCTTGTTTTATTGACTGATAAATTTTATATTTGGTTTGTGGATACACTCTGGTGGAAACATTAGGTGGTCTTTTCCTTTGGAGATACTTTGTTCAAGGTCATGGGCAACATTAATTAGCGATTGCGGACGAACTTTAAGACAATTCTTCAATAATTAGCTCTAGTCACAGAATAACAAATCTTAAATGTTTTTAGGACAAAGACTTGCAATTAATTTCTCCCAATGGACAGAAAATCACCTTTATATCGTGAATTACGAAGCCAGCTCATTAGCGTGTTTGTGTAACAAGACGAAAAAGGTAAAATATACGACTTTCGATCTGATCATCATGCAGCATGCTAATATATTTACATGTAAAAACAACAAATGAACAAGGACTTGGACATTAGCTATAATTATTACAAATTCCATTACAGCGTAATTTGCAGTCTGTCTATAACTGGCCAAATAACACTGGCAGAACAAAAACACGCGTGCATTTTTTCGGTCATTAAACATCCATTCGTATAATATAATTAATATGATTTAAGTCTATATTGAGAAAAGTAGAGAAAAAATCGACATAAAGCCTTATCACGTGACACAGCCGAGACATTTTCCCGTAAAATCGGCCCGTCTCCACGGGCACGAGCGGGCATGTTAGTAGAACCACCGACATTCAGTAACATAAATGAGCTAATTAGACAGCTTCATCAAAAGAAAGAATCTGAAGTTGCAAGCGGGTTCACCACCCAGAGTGGTGAACAGTCAACGATCTTCGATCATCACTAGCTTACGTATGCCTAGTGTAACTAGTGACAGGGTCTTTTGAGGGAATATAGGAGTTATAAATATATGTAGATCTAAATATGTAGATATAAATAAAAAAACCAAACGTGCTAAATTAGTAAATACACAATGTACGGAGAAAAAATGTTAATAATGTCGAAATGCCAGATGACGTTGGTAATTTTAACCATTTATATAAGGACAGTATTTATAGTAAGTTCGTGTAGTGATTTGCAATGCAATAATAAATTATACACTTATAGATGTACTTGCGGTTATATTTGACGTCTTCATTTGTTACATTATTACAGCATAATGTATTTAATTAACTACAAATATACGTGTATAATTTAACAGTCACGTAATATGTGCCTTATTTACCCGCATAGTCAGGATTGTTAGTGCAAACCGGTATATCATGTCATGCGTCCCCTATCATTCTTTAATTATATCAAATCATTTCATATAATAGTATATAGGACAACAGTTTATATTGTGTGGTAAAATACAAGCAGTCCTGGACAAATGAGATATCGTATTAAAGAATTATGTGTGCTCCATGATCGACGAAAATAATTGCGACAAAACATTTTAAAATCTCTATTAAATTATCTTTATTTGTGGCTAGTCATAGAAATAACATATAACGCCTAAAGACATGTCATGCAAGCTTTCAGATATATTTCCAATTCGCGCAAAAAGAGTATGAGGAACCAGTAAGAACCATTAAGGAATCCAGGCACTATATATAGTATTGCTTCTTGAATTGTCTTGAATAAAATTGAATACAAGCCACAAGTTCTGTGATTGTGTTTCATCGCACCAATACGTTTCGTTTCCAATTATAAGGGTGGTTGTGAGTTCAATAGCAGTGTCAAATATATGCAGAACTGTCTAATGCAAAGTGACAGTGCATATTTATGAGATGGTCAACATCCTGGAGCACGAAATTACTTCGTATTTGTGTTTGTTTTAATTCTAGAGGGAGTGGCAGATTTATGCGCCACTTAAACGAACATTTCTCTGAGTGATATATTAGATAGCAAATGTTATGCATGCATAATATATGAGTATTTAACTCTAATGTTTACAAAAGTAATATTTCTTGTGCTATATGTTTCTTAATTTAATAGTAAGTCAGAATTTATATGAACCATGAATCATTTCCTGAAAGAATAAAAATTTATTTATATCAAAACTTTTTTTTTTAGAAAACTGTCGTGAAAATGAATGATACCCATGATGTATTTAGTTTATTTGCTCAACTATTAGTTTTCAAAGAATAGGGAGGGCTATTGTTCCCCCCCCCCCTCCGGAGTCACATTTGCACGTGCAATTTGATATCTCCAAAGTTACCCAAGAGAATAGGTTGAAACTTCACACACTTGTTCTCTGTGATTATCTAACATTTTATGCTTTGGAAAATAAACCGTTAAATGTCATATTTTGGTATTTGCTCTTTTCTATGTAACTGGTAGATTTTGTCATTTCGCGGAACACAATTCAATAAATGTCAAAAATGGCCCGTATAATATAACACGTTTATGGATATATTAGTATCAGATATTTGTAGGCAACACTTCTGTCAGTGAACAACGACGGTATGAACACAAGAGGACCATAGTGGTCAAAAAATGCAAATTACTTTACGAATTCGATAATATATACAATATACATGTATACAATTTTGACAATTTGTGTAAGGCGGGCAGACTGACAAGCTTAAGTCAAACTCGATAGTTTCCGTCAATAACTTAAGGTCAGACGATTCACTTATCTTAATATAACATGGTACATGTATATAGCAAGCTCATGTGAAGACCTAGCTTAAGATTGCTTTAACCCAAGCCCCTCCCCTCCCAGGAGCAAGGTCAATAAATATTATTACTTTCATCAGTAATTCAATAGATTTATCTATATCCCAACTAAAAACAACGGATCTTAATGTAACATTAAAACAAATGTTTCTACTATGGTTATAATTGAAAACCTAGTGCTTTAGCATGGCCATTTTTCTTGTGTGTTTTTTTTTTCCTCTCTAATGCTTGGACATCGTATGTCCCAGCCACATAGAAGGGGTAGTTTGGTTATTTCAAACTTAAGCCAGCCAAAATTTCTGAATCCGAGGCAGCTGATTTGAGTTGTACTGATTTGGCCTACAACGAACATTTAGCGGTATATCACCTTATTATTACGTTTTCCTGCGTTGAAAATTTTTAACTGATCACCGTTTAAGAAATCGCGGGAAAGGTTTGTTTAATTCTTAAGGCGCAATTATTGATCTTTATTATTTATCATACACAGGCCCTTAGTATTCATTATTTTTTATTATTGGCAAGTCGTATTATATTTAAAAATTCTAAACATAAATTACAGTACTGTAGAGTATTGCGAAATTGTCGAAGCCAAACTGGCCAAATTTAAGGCTTTGTTGAACTTGGTCCGTCACTCGTGGCTCTTCATTAATGATAATTTAATCAAATCACTTTCCCCACAGTTTAACTGGAAATTAAGTCGCCATATTACCTTAACAGCAAAGAATCAGACACGTAGAAGATAATCTTTGCATTTGACACTTTAAATTTGTGTTGAATTTATCTCCTCGATCCAAGCTTATCTTGATTTTTCTTCTTTTTTTTTTTTTTTAAAGGCAACTCAATTGATTATTCACTAATTTAGCCATCATTGTCTTCATGTTTTTTATTATTCTAGATGGGTAATCAAGGAAGTAGCAGTCAGGAACTAGGTGTTAAATTGGAGAATGATACTACTGTTACCTGGAAGAAGGTGACATCATGCAGTTTCCCTTTGCGTGAGGGACAGTGTGCTTGTTCCCAAGGCAACAATATGTATGTGTTTGGTGGAGTCATAAATGATGGGGAAAATCACATTGAAAGTTGTGAATTATTAAAATTTAATGTTGGTATGGAAAATTTTGATATGACTTGTATTAGAACTTGCCTTTTCATTTTTCACTAGGACTTATTTTGACGTTTCATTTCTATTTTTAATTTTCAGTCTCTTCAGATCCTTTCTTTTATCTGAAATGTCAAAATATTACTGGTTTCCTAGCAGTTTCTGTCCCCTAGCAGTTTTCCGGCCGTTTATCAATTTTGTCCAGTACAGTCTATTTTTACCAGTAAGGCATCCACATTACTTCATCAATCAGTGAAACATTTGTTTTCTATGCTAAACAGCATTTAAAATAGTATGTACAACAATTTATATGTTTTGAAGTTTTGCCTGTTATTAAAAGTAACATAAGAGAACTTGCGACATTAAAAAATAAGCAACACCTGGGAAATTCTAGTTTGAATATTCATGCGCAATAACTAAGACCCTATTTTAGGTTAATCAATACTTCTGAAAATATTTTTGCAGACGACACGGAAAAGGTTGGGAAGTTCTGTTTGTCTGATAAAAATCATCTTAATAATCATCTTAATATTGCTTTATGGTACTGAATTATATTCAAAATAGAAAAGGTCTAGTAAACTGCTATGAATTTTTTAATAAAGGTGAAAAAAAGGCATTACATTTCAGGCCTATATTCAAATTAAAAAGTAAAGTGAAAGTGCAGCATTAAACACATGGCAATGCTAGACAGGTACCTAACTTTGTCCTGTCAAAGTTTTGTACCCCTCCATTGACTGATTTTTATTTTATTTGTTAAAAAGTTTGATTTGTGGCTGGAAACTGCTAGGAAACCAGTATATCTTCCATATGTGTGGGGCTTTTTTTACTTTATAAATTACTGTGAAAGACTCTGGGTATAGCCCAGGTTTTAGTTATTGTGCAGTGATATAATTATAATAAAACTTATTTTTAAGTTGTTTTGTTACTATTCACTTTCTATCATTTAATAAATTAATATTCTATATTTAATCCTTAATATATATTACCTTTTACTATAATAACTGAAAATAAATAAGAATAACTTAAAACCTTTTCTTCAACTTAACAAATATTTTCAAACAGGTATTGAGGTAAAAGTCATATTTTAATTTCAGTCGATCTAACATGGACTTTAATTGATGCCAAAGGAACCCTTCCAGAACCTCTGTCTGCTGCTAGTTTAGTGTCAGTGGGAAATAAACTTTACTTATTTGGAGGCCTTAATCAAGAAACAGGTTGGCAAGACAGTCTCTATGTTTTTGATACAGGTGAGATTTAAAAACCGAAATATTTCTATGCATTATTTTACAAAGCTCCAGATCAGCATATAGAGGTAAATGGGCAATAGCTGCAACACCCACAGCCACCCCTATTAGAATTAATTGGGTATTTAAAATTTTCAGGTCATAAAATGAGTATTAATGCATTTTTACCCAATCTTTCAAAATTTAATTGGATACCATTACACACAACCTGGGAAGATTGTCTTGAAATGTCTTCCTTATTAATAAAAGCCACCAACCCATATATTAGTCAAAATTTCGGATTTTCATATTTTTTTTGCATGTCAGTCAAATACATGTAGTAAATTCTTCTTAATTGACTAGAGCTACTAACCAAGGTATTGTTTATAAGATTCATAAAATTAAACCATATCAAATTAGATAAGTGTTACACACATCTGTTGATGTGTCCTAAATGTCCTAGTGCTTTAACTGGGACTTACAATAACTAAAGTCCTGGGTTTTTATTAGCTCACCTGTCACAAAGTGACAGGGTGAGCTTTTGTGATCGCTTTTCGTCCGGCGTCCGTCCGTACACATTTACTTTAAATGACATCTCCTCATAAACCACTAAGCCAATTTCATCCAAACTTCACAGGAATGTTCCTTTGGTGGTCACCTTTAAAAATTGTTCAAAGAATTTAATTCCATGCAGAACTCTGGTTGCCATGGCAACCGAAAGAAAAAACTTTAAATATCTTCTTTTAAGAAAACCATGAGCTAGAGCTTAGATATTTGGCATGAAACATTTTCTAGTGAATGTTTACTAACTTTGTTCAAATAAAATCCCTGGGGGTCAAAATTGACCCCGCCCCAGGGGGGTCATTGATTTTCCCTATATGCATATAGTAAAAACTTAAAAAATCTTCTTTTAAAGAACCCAAAGAGCTAGAGCTAAGATATTCAGCATGAAACATCTTCTAATGAGTGTCTACCAAGTTTGTTCAAATAAAAGCCCTGGGGTCAAAATTGGCCCCGCCCCAGGGGGTCATTGATTTTCCCTATATGCATATAGTAAAAACTTAAAAAATCTTCTTTTAAAGAACTCAAAGAGCTAGAGCTAAGATATTCAGCATGAAACATCTTCTAATGGGTGTCTACCAAGTTTGTTCAAATAAAAGCCCTGGGGTCAAAATTGGCCCCGCCCCAGGGGGTCATTGATTTTCCCTATATGCATATAGTAAAAACTTAAAAAATCTTCTTTTAAAGAACTCAAAGAGCTAGAGCTAAGATATTCAGCATGAAACATCTTCTAATGGGTGTCTACCAAGTTTGTTCAAATAAAAGCCCTGGGGTCAAAATTGGCCCCGCCCCGGGGGGTCATTGATTTTCCTTATATGTGTATAGCAAAAACTTAAATAATCTTCTTTGAAAAAACCCAAATAGCTAGAGTTTAGATATTAAGCATGAAACATCTTCTAGTGAGTGTCTACAAAGTTTGTTCAAATAATAGCCCTGGGGTCAAAATTGGCCCCGCCCCGGGGGGTCATTGATTTTCCCTTTATGCATATAGTAAAAACTTAAAAAATCTTCTTTGAAAAAACCCAAATAGCTAGAGTTTAGATATTAAGCATGAAACATCTTCTAGTAAGTGTCTACAAAGTTTGTTCAAATAAAAGCCCTGGGGTCAAAACTGGCCCCGCCCCAGAGGTGTCATTGTTTTTAACTATATGTGTGTAGTAAAAACTTAAAAATCTTCTTTTAAAAAACCCAATGAGCTAGAGCTTAGATGTTTAGCATGAAATATCTTCTTATGGATGTCTACCAAGTTTGTTCAAATAAAAGCCCTTGGGTGAAAATTGGCCCTGCCGGGTGGGGGGGGAGGGCAGTAGATCATTGTTTTTCATTACATGTGGGTAGTAAAAACTTAACATTGTGAAACATCTTTTAATGACTGTCTTCAAAGTTTGTTCAAATAAAAGCACTGGGGTTTAAACTGACCCCGTTCCGGGGGCCTATATACAGGTGAGCGACCTCAGGGCCATCATTACCCTCTTGTTATATAAAAAGTATGTTTTTAATATTCAATGTCAACCATTGTGCTACATTTTGATGCTATAAACTGTCAGAGTAATGATTAGGATGAATAGCTGCATCAACCTTTTACCTGATACAGGTTGCAAAACCATACAAAATGAAAATACATATGAAGACATAGAAATTAATGAAAATGCTCATTTGGATATTACTTTAAACTTGAAGTTTTGTTTTCAATATTAATAACTAAAATCTGTCAGGAATGTTTGCATTAGCATAACTCTGATACGCACACTGATAATAATGAATATGGGTAATTTATTAATTTTAATATTTGAATATTGGAACAATTGTAATTACGCTTATCTGGAGCAGATAATATTATAAATCCTTTATACAGGGGCTTTATAAAATGTTTGTTTATCGGTTCATTATGAAATATTTTACAGACAAATATTGCTTGGGATACCTCATTATAAAATGAAGCTGTTATAAATATTCTGTTCCGGTTCAGTCAACTTCAGTGTATCCTATAGTATAATGCTTTTATTCTTTAAAGAGCTTTAAAAGCAAGAATAATATCAGTTAAAGTTTTTGTACCAATTAACATTTAAACTTAAAGGGACTCCACAGAGTTTTTTGACATGATGGGACTGAAAATATTTTTTTCCAGATAAATGTACCATTTGATGTAAGTTTAGACCACTAATCTTTGTGCAAAATTTCAGATCATTCGCGCACTTTGTTTTTCCAGAATAATTATTCAAATTGTAAAAAAATGACCCAAAATGAAAAGCGTTTAAACACTTTTCACTCAAATCAGGCTAAGAAAAGCATAAAAATACGATTTTCAATTTATTTCAAAGTATATTTCTTTATTATCTTTGCATATATTTCTGATTAAAGTGTCCCAGCTCATTTATGTAAGAAATTCAAATTTTATGTTTTTAGGCTTTTAAACCTCAATGGAGCCCCTTTTACCTTTGAATTCTGAAATACTTTAAAATGGATGACCTGCATTTCCATCAGCAGACTAGAGTTGACTCTGTTATGAATTTTGCATATATTTATGCCTCTTTTCAACATCAAAAGTTTCATAGAGCTGCATAGATTGCATTATTAAGCACTCAGCAATAGCGAAACATGCAGAATAATGAAATATGTTGTCCTGTAGACATTTCTTGATAGGCATTCTCTATAAATTGAAACAGAAAGAACCAATATATATTATTTTGATTGATGTACATATTTATTATTCTTGAAAACTTGGGATTTTCCAATGACATTCCAAAGTCTGTATGATTTATCGTTACTCAGAAATTGAAAAGTCAACCAAAATAAAGATGAAAGATAAGACGATGAATTAGATGATTTCAGTACTTTAACTGGAGACTGAGTCTAGATTTGAATATTGTAACTAAAACTACTGTAACCCAATTTATATTCGCGAATACAAATTTTCGCGTTTTGTCGAGGTCGGACATATTCGCGAATATTAATTTCCGCATTTTTTTTTTTTGATTTCCGAAAATAAAATATTCGCAGATTGAAAATTCAATTTAAGCATTTCAAAAAAAATACCTTCTCCAATCGGGGATCGAACCAACGCCGAGAAAATTTGTTATACGAGTCCGCAATCTAACCAACTGAGCTAGACAAGCTGTTAAGTTTGCCGGGTAAAAAGCGATACTAGGATGAAACCATCTTGTATTTCACTGTTTGTAATTATGTACACCAAATACCCTTTTGTGATGCTCGATAGGTTTATAACACCTTTAACAATTCAATCAAACAATTATTTTATGGATCGAAAAACAAAATGGAGGTTGTGATGCTCGATTGTTTTCCCACTTTTGTCAAACGATTTATTCAAACATTTTATATCTTAAACTGTATTTAAATGTGAATGTTTATTTTGATTACTATAAAGCCATGGAGATATTTTGATATTTATAAAATAGTAGTAGTTTACTTAGTTTGTGTTTTTATTGCTTTATGGCAATATTCATAACAATTCATTACTTCCTAGCAGGTGCCCGTAAATTCGAATATATATATAAGGTCAAGTATCAATGCATGAAAAACGTCTAAAATAAAAATTTCTCTCCAATTTAGTCGCGAAATCGTGCGGACTTATTCGCGCAAACAAATATTCGCGCTTTGTGGCCATCCGCGAATAAAGCGAATATTAATTGGTCGCGAATATTCGTTGGGTTACAGTATTTGTTTGCTCTGTGTTGTGACAATTAAGTAGTACCAGATATCCATGATAGCCTTTTGATGAAAATTACTATTATAATTCTTAACAATTACTTCAGATACCAGTACATGGTCTAAGATAGATGGTGAAGGGAAGAAACCTAGTGCTAGAGACAAGTTACAGGGATGTGTAATGGATTCATGTATATATTATTTTGGAGGATTCGGACCACAGCTGACTGGAGATGAAGATGATGAGGACTGGGAAGATGTAAATCTTTATCTTATCTTCTAAATTAAATGATAAAAGTTTTCTTATAACAAACTGGTTATAATGAAAAAATGGTGATAATGATAACAGTTAAATGCACCTTCCGACTATACATAGAAGTGATAGCTTGATTTGTTATCACAAACTTATGTATAAAACGTTTTAAAACATGCTAAAAAGTTGTTTAAACCTTTTGTAAAGAATAAGAACTTTCCCATTAAAATTGATATTGATTTCAATGTATCATGCATGGATGAATTTGGGATATACCAGCAATTTTATACGTCTCTAGAAAATTGATAACATCAAGTTGTTTATGCAGTCCCACAAGATGAGCATGTTTTACTATATACCTTCTTGAATGGAACATTATAATTACAAACATATACTATATAAATGTTATAGATGGATGACAGTGATGATGATGTTATAGATGAAGCAAAAACACAGAAAGCTGCTCAGTTTGGTTGGTTTAATGACCTTTACTCATTTGATACAGGTAATATTCAACATCTGATATTTGAATGTATTTCATGAGATATTCTTAGTAAACCAACCTTTATTATCTTTTTTGGCGGGGGGATATAGAAATAGTCTCCGTCCGTCCGACCTTCCGTCCGTCCGTCCTTCCGTCCGACATTTTTGTCCAGAGCATATCTCTAAAAGTATTTGAGTTATCAACTTTAAACTTCATAGGTGGATAGACCTCATTGAGGAGGAGTGCAGTGCACAAGAATGATAACTCTACCCTGCATAATTTTTGAGTTATTGCCCTTTGTTATTTTTCAAAATTGATTTTTGTCCAGAGCATGAGATATCAACATGAAACTTCATAGGTGCATAGATCTCACTCAGGAAGTGTGCAGTGCACAATAATGATAACACTACCTTTCATAATTTTTGAGTTATTGCCCTTTGTTATTTTTCATACTTAATTTTTCACCCGAGTGGAGCATAACTCAAAAAGTGTTTGAGATATCAACATGAAATGTCACAGGTGGATAGATTTTATTGAGGAGGAATGCTGTGCACTAGAATGATAACTCTTCCCTATACAATTTTTGAGTTATTGCCCTTTGTTCTTTTTCATACTATTTTGTCCAGAGTTTATCTCAAAAAGCATTTGAGGTATCAACTTGAAACTTCATAGGTGGATGGATCTCATTAAGGAGGAGTGCAGTGCACAAGAACGATAACTCTACCCTGCATAATTTTTGAGTTATTGCCCTTTGTTATTTTTCAAAATTAATTTTTGTCCAGAGCATAACTCTAAAAGCCTTTGAGATATCAAAATGAAACTTTATAGGTGCATAGATCTCATTCAGGGGGTGTGCAGTGCACAAGAATGATAACTCTACCTTTCATAATTTTTGAGTTATTGCCCTTTGTTATTTTTCATACCTAATTTTTCACCCGAGTGGAGCATAACTCAAAAGTGTTTGAGATGTCTACATGAAATGTCATAGGTGGATAGATTTTATTGAGGAGGAATGCTGTGCACAAGAATGATAACTCTTCCCTGCACAATTTTTGAGTTATTGCCCTTTGTTCTTTTTCATACTATTTTGTCCAGAGTTTATCTCAAAAAGTATTTGAGGTATCAACTTGCAGGGAATTCCCCAGGATATTTTTTAAGCGCTACATTTTTTTTAATAAGACGGGGGTGGGTGCGGGAGGGGGTCTTGACCCCTCATACCGCGTGTCGAAAATTTTTGCCATTTAAGGTGTCAAGATACTGCTGTGGGCTGTTTTAAAACAAATAATGAAAGCTTTTCACTTGATAAACATTTTCTTAATTTTAATATTTATTTTTTTCCATTTCCAACAATTCAAATAAATAAACAATTATATATAAACACAAGTTCACAACATGTGATCAACATTTATATGTATGTGTGTGTCCCATTTAAATGAGTATATTTCAGTTGTTTTTTCTTCATTAACATCATTAAAAGTGGGCCTGTCTTCTAGGTTTGTTGTCCTTCCATGCCTTGACTGCCTTCTCAAAGTTGAAAGATTCTAATGGGGGTCCTTGAAGGGAGATGGCAAGAAGAGTTCAGAACAGTTTTTTAGTCTTAACTCTCTTCAGGCAGCTGAATCCTCGCTCAAAGTCTGAAATTAATAAATGAAAGTAATCATTTATGTTAACCTCATGTCTTTTATTTATATTGTTTGTTAGATGTGAATATTTGAAAATTTAAAACTTCCAGCCTGTTTAAACTTAACTAAGTAAAAAAAATTTTATTTGAAATGTTGAAAAACTTCTAGCAAAGTGTTACACATCTGCAACTGTCATTGGAATTTCATTAATGTTCAAGAATGAATGAATTTAATAATGCTTACCTGCAGTAGAGGTTGGGAGGAGGAGACAGACCCACAGCAGCAATTCTGTAAAGAGCTGGATGACTGGTAGAAAGGTTGCCAGTAATCCAGGTCATGGTCTGGTCGGCTGACTGATCAGTCCCCTCTAAATTGGCACGTACCTGGTGCCAGTGGCTGCGGCACTGCTCCATATCTACACCAAAGTGCCTGGCCAGCTCCTGTATGTCCTGACAAACCAATGCTAAGGGGTAGGACAGTAGATTGCACTTCAAAAAGCTGTTCATGAACAGACTCGATTAAAGAGGGCCTGCAAAGTTAATATTTTTTTCATTTTGGGGATTCACTGAACAGAAACAGATTACAAGATATTTTTAATTAAAAAAGAAAATGACCAATTGGCTGTCACTAAGTGAGATTGTTGACGTAAAGTTTTTGTTGTTGTTTTCACTCATTTGCAAGTTGATAATGAACAGTCGTAAATGTTTTCAATGTTAAAGTAGCCATCAATCAAATTTTTTTCTGAATATCTATGCAGTTTAATCAAAGAGTAAAAAAAAGAAAAAAAAGCAAAGTTTCAACGACATTGCTCACAAAAAAAAACTCTTAAAATTGATAGTGAACTAGGCTTCCCTTATTCATGTTAGACATATTATTTTTTGAAATCTTAATACTACAGTACTGCTTAGACGTAACGATCATAAGAAAGTGAACATTACACTTATATCAAGACAATTAACCCATTCATCCCTAATTTAAATATCAAAACTGTTATATCGCATGTCAATTAATGCCAATTATATTATCAAAGCAATAAAAGTTATTACACCTACCTGAAACATGTAAATATCACACATGCTGCGGTTAAATTGCACCCATCTCAATACATGGTAATTGACAACACCTGAAAGTGCACCAACAGTCGTCTGCAGACATCGATGACAGGTGTCTGTGACGTCACACAGTCTAAAGGCAATCAGTGTATCGGGTTGTGTATACGCCTCGGGTAATTATCTACACAGGACATGTATATTGGCTTGTTTATTTGGCTAATTGGGGTTAACTTATAGACACAAAAGAAAGGGATATCGGTCATTTTTTAAAGCGCTATGATAATTTTAAGGCGCATCGGGATTTCTTGTTCTGAAATTTTAGCGCATCGGTGCTGATGCGCTAAAAGCACCTGGGGAATTCCCTGACTTGAAACTTCATAGGTGGATGGATCTCATTAAGGAGGAGTGCAGTGCACAAGAACGATAACTCTACCCTGCATAAATGTTTAGTTATTGCCCTTTTTTTATTTTTCAAAATTAATTTTTGTCCAGAGCATAACTCAAAAGGCCTTTGAGATATCATTATGAAATTTCATAGGGGCATAGATCTAATTCAGGAGGTGTGCAGGGCACAAGAATGATAACTCTACCTTTTATAATTTTTGAGTTATTGCCCTTTGTTATTTTTCATACTTAATTTTTCAATTCAATTTTTTTCTCAAAAAGTATTTGAGGTATCAACTTGAAACTTCATAGGTGGATAGATTTTACTGAGGAGGGATGCAGCACACAAGAATGATAACCTACCCTGCATTATTTTTCAGTAATTGCCCTTTGTTATATTCAGCCATCAGTATTCACATAGGTTTCAAATCTGTAATCACTATAGCCATCAGTTTTCATTACCAAAAGACCTCTTAAAATGGAATTATTCTGCTCTACTACTTGTACATTCTTCCAATGAGCAAACACATTCGGCGGGGGATGGCCATGTTGACATGGCTCTTGTTCTAATTATATGAACATCTGTTTTGATATTTTGTTCAGATTTAAATATTTTGTGCTAGGAAAATTGACGTCTGTTATAAATTTTGTCTGCTTAGTGTTTGAATTTAACAAACTTTCTCAAGATTAAAAAAAATGACATCTGAATTGTCTGTCGGACAACTTGGTATCTGACAAGTCACTTAAGTTCACAACCTCAGATTTGATACTAAATTGTTTGCAATGGCTATTGTGCTAGCTGTTAGTAGGGTATGGGTTCTAAATATGATAGCATTTGTTCTACATCAAATGATATTTTTGAAACCATAGTGCAAAATTTGAGGAATGTTGCTTGTGATATAAAACTTAATTCCGTTATGTGGTTTAGATTTGTCATAGATTTGTTCTTGGCAGCTAAAAGAGATATTTTAATAAAGTGATATTTGTTCAAAGCCACCATCGTTCCTGGAGAGTTACACCAGTACTAGACTACCTTCCTCCTTTGGTAGTTTAGCGCGGAGGAAGGTAGTCTAGTACTGGTGTAACTCTCCAGGAACGATGGTTAGTAAACTACCCGCCTATATGACTGAAATACTGTTGGAAAAGGCGTAAAATGAAACAAACAAACAAACAAACTTGTTCTTGTCAATGCTTAAACTGCTGGGATAGAGCCCATGCCGCATGTATAGCGCCATCCTGTGCAGTCCCACTATACTCTATATTGTTGGTATGTGTAGCTCAACTGTAGGATTTTAGAAATGAATTCCCTTAAACTTTGTTAGGACTTTTCCAAATTCAAAGCTTGGCAAATCCATCAAACCAATTCAGCAGGTTAAGGGTTAAACACGTCTGCTGTTAATTGGGTGATATAAAATTGTGTATATTACTATCTAGGCAAAAGGTTCTAAGTTTGTTTCCATTCTTAAATTTGTAGCTACAAATAAATGGTCACAACCAATGCACATGAATCTCGGGGTGCCAAAGGCTCGGGCAGCACATGGTATGTGCTCTGTGGGACGTAATCTTCTCATATTCGGAGGACGAGACACAGAAAAACGTACAAACGATCTCCATATTTTCAATGTTGGTAAGTAACTTTTGTTATAAATGATGAAATTCATCAAATAAAATGTCTAAATGGGAATAAGTTATTGTCAGGTGATGTTTAAGAAGTTTATTTATGTTGTTACTTAAAGTAGATAGTGATGTCTTAGATGCAGCTTCATATTTCATTAACTAGACTTGAACCTTTACAAGTTTTCATCGTCATAATTGTAGGTCAATGAGCTTTCACTGAATAAATGCCTTAAGTATACTTTTATGATAATTCCTGAATGACCATGTTTTAATATCAGGTAATGCTTTAATATCAGATAATGTGCATAAGCACTTTGTCTAACAGTTTTTGTTTTTAAACAATAAATGAGCCGTGTCACCACAAAACCAACATAGTGCGTTTGCGACCAGCATGGATCCAGACCAGCCTGCGCATCCGCGCAGTCTGATCAGGATCCATGCTGTTCGCTGTCAGTTTCTCCACTTGTAATAGAGTTGGTAAGCGAACAGCATGGATCCTGATAAGACTGCGTGGATGCGCAGGCTGGTCTGGATCCATGCTGGTCGCAAACCCATTATGTTGGTTTTGTCATGACGCGGCTCAAATGTTTAAACTGTGAGAGAACTTCAATTACAATTTAGAAATTAATTGTTCTCAGACACAAGGAAGTGGGAGTTGGACATGAAGATAAATGGTGAAAGGCCAGTTGCACGGTCATTTCACACAGCTACAGCGGTCGGTAAGCGGATGGTAGTAATGGGAGGCCGAGGACAGGATAACAATCATCTCGCAGACTTCCATATATTTGATACTGGTAAGTACGAAATAGTGATTTTTGAAATAGGTCCAAAACTTTCTTTGCATTAAAATAGAATGTGTAGTGTTTGTGATGTGTTTGCTAGCACTATGTCATTGTCCTATCACGCACATTTTGTAGTGATGACATTTTAAATTTTTTAAAAAGAGTATAAAATATCTGCTAAATTGTCTCAATTGTGTGTACTTTCCAGTGAATACTTTTTGTAACATTTTAGCTGATTACAATCCAGGTTGATTTTCTGATGGTTTAAATAAATTTTAACATTCCCCAAATCATAGAATTAAATAGAAGTTGACTTTTGGCACTCAATGAAAATAGTTTTGATTTCAAGTTGTTTTTCACGGCCAATGTAATACAGATTTTAAGGTTATGATAACCAGGTTGTCTTCTAACTTTATTCTAAAATATGAATAAAATGAGATTTAGTACTAGGGTGTACAAAGTTCAAACTGGGTTTATAGTTTGTGTATAACCCTGACTTTAGAGATACATGTTTGACTACTAATCATTTGATTGAATAAAGATAGATAAAGTTAGAAAATAGAATGAAATTAAAAATGTAATTGAAATATACATGTACAATCAATTTGAAGAAAAGGAGATTGATGCATAACATTTCTAAACAAAGTATTTCTTTCTGAAAATAACTCATGAAAAAAGACTTTAATAAATGCTAAGTAACTTGTTATTGGACATTTTTATGCCCCCACAATGTGGGAGCATATAGCGTTGCACTTGTCCGTCCGTCCCGAAAGTGAACGCAACTCCTCTTAAACCGGATGACAGATTTTGCTTAAACTTACAGGGATGAACAACCTTAATGTGTAGATGGTAGTAAAGGAAGGAATTTTCGCTGCGACCAAATTTAACAGAAATATGGCCCTTTGTTGATTTTTTCACTAGATACTATGTAGAAATTTTGTGAACGCAACTCCTCTTAAACCGTATGGCAGAACTTACAGGGATGAACAATCTTAATGTGTAGATGGTAGTAAAGGAAGGAATTTTTGCTGCGACCAAATTTAACAGAATTATGGCCCTTTGTTGATTTTTCACTATATACTATGTAGAAATTTTGTGAACGAAACTCCTCTTAAACCGGATGGCAAATTTTGCTTAAACTTACAGGGATGAACAACCTTAAGATGTAGATGGTTGTAAAGGAAGGAATTTTCGCTGCAACCAAATTTTACAGAATTATGGCCCTTTGTTGATTTTTTCACTATATACTATGTAGAAATTTTGTGAATGCAACTCCTTATAAACCGGATGGCAGATTTTGCTTAAACTTCCAGGGATGAACAACCTTAATGTGTAGATGGCAGTAAAGGAAGGAATTTTTGCTGCAACCAAATTTAACAGAATTATGGCCCTTTGTTGATTTTTTCATTATATACTATGTAGAAATTTTGTGAACGCAACTCCTCTTAAACCGGATGGCAGATTTTGCTTAAACTTCCAGGGATTAACAACCTTAATGTGTAGATGGTACTAAAGGAAGGAATTTTTGCTGCGACCAAATTTAACAGAATTATGGCCCTTTGTTGATTTTTAGTTTTCAACTTGTGGCACATGTAGTCCAAAAAATATTTGACCTAGAGTCATAAGATTGACAGAACAGTGGCGTGTGGGGGCATCCGTGTCCTATGGACACATTTCTAGTTTTAACTTGATTTACTTATTATTTTATTTAACTTTGTAAATTTATGTTTCAATGATAAAGAAATGTTAAATATTAATTTCCAAAAGAGAATAAGGTTTTGAAACCTTAGTAAAATTTTATAGATTTACTGTTACATGAATTTTATTAATGATAAATTGTTCAATGTATTATATAACTGTCTGTCAAATGTTGTAGAAACAAAAGAATGGATGCAACCTGAGGTGTTGGGAGACACACCTGAGGCTAGAGGGCAGCACTGTGTGGCAGTTGTAGGGGATAAACTTGTCATGTATGGAGGAACCTCACATTTCAATACAGAAACTATGATGTGTTCTAAGCTTCATGGTGATACATATGTTCTACAAATAGGTAAAGTTCTAATAAATCAATGTGTGTGTATTTCAACACAAATATATTTCTTCATTTAAAGAAAAGGTAGCATTAGCAACCTAATTGGGCCAAAGTTTTGGCAATGTTGATTTTAAAAAAATACAACATGGTCAATAAAAACTTTCTGAATATTGAAAAAATATAGGTAACTAAAATAGGAGCCATTGATTTTTAAGCTTGATAATTCAAAGAATTGTGGGACAAACTTACCTGAGTGTTGGCGTAACACTGATTAAACTGCATTACTTGATATCTTTAAATGAAGGTGTTTGCTTGAAACTTTATACACTTTTCAGATTAAAACTGAACGTCACTTTTTAAAAACCCAGAAAAACATAACCTGTTACATGGATTTTGACTTCATTTGAGCCCCTTGAGGACTTTCATACATGCCCTAGAAAATCACTAGCCAAGATCCATGACTCTGACATGGATTTTGACTTAAATACCCATAGTGAAATTTAAAAGTTCTTCATGCAAGATCAATCATAAAAGCTACTTCAGGTATTATTATGCTCCTACTTATCAGATGGGAAATTAAAGTCAAAATTTAACTTTAATATTTTTTCAATCTTGGCAATAACTTTGATGAAATAATTGTAAGAAATGCAAAGCATTCCAAAATTATACTTCCAGGATTGTTTTGTACACTGATACCTTCCAAAGAACTTCACATTGTCTGTGATAATATTTTTCACTGTTGAAGGCCGATAACTTGCCTTAAATTTGACTAAATAATAGCTCCATGTGAACATACAAAAGTATTACATTACTGTGTCATGCATTTGAATGATATCTTTCTCTTTGTGAATTGATACATTATCCTTGCTCTTTGTTTAATACTATGTGCAGTTTTCATGCAAGAATGGTAGTAGGGCTATAGGGATATTAATTAGGTCAATATTTTAGCAAAAGCAATAGAAATGTTTTAGCAGTTGGTACTTATGCTAAAAAATAGTTGTCTGTCCATCTTTTATCATAATATTATTTCTGTTTCAGCTGATGTACTTAAAGGACAAGCAATACATACAGACAATACTCAGGGAAACAATACAAATGATACTCAAACTAATGGTTCCACGTCATGATTCCAATTATCATCATGTTTTACTTCATTCAATGAAATCTTGTATATAAATATATATTAATTAAAGATGGAAAATTATTTTGTTGAATCATATTGCTTTAAAGCTTTCATTGACAAAAAGTCAGTGATAAAAATGTCTTAACAGATCTACTCTCATTTCTATTTTTGTATGCCTGAAACAAAAAATTGGCATATAATGGCCTGGCTGTATTTTATTTTATTTCAAATTATTGTTTGTTATGCCGCCCAGTCATGCAACATTATAATAATTCTTCATACAGTGTTCATCCGTCTGTCTGTTAGCAATTTGGTGTTAACTCTGCATGATTACAAAGTGCAGTTTTTAACTTTCTTAGGTCAAGGTCAATCTTAGTCATTCTCTATGAATTCCAAATGTTTGTTTACACTGTATCTTTTGAATAGAAAATGGAAATCAAAACTATTTGGCAGATATGATAAAAATTGATCATTTAGTAATATAGGGATAATTCAAATTTTTATGCCATCGCAATATGTGATGCAGTGGCATATAGAAATTCAACTGTATATGTGTTTGTTGACAGATTATACAGTAACCTTAATTTTTTAGCTCACCTGTCACAAAGTGACAGGGTGAGCTTTTGTGATCGCTTTTCGTCCGTCCGTCCGTAAACTTACTTTAAATGACATCTCCTCATAAACCACTAAGCCAATTTCATCCAAACTTCACAGGAATGTTCCTTTGGTGGTCACCTTTAAAAATTGTTCAAAGAATTTAATTCCATGCAGAACTCTGGTTGCCATGACAACCGAAAGAAAAAACTTTAAATATCTTCTTTTAAAAAACCCCAAGAGCTAAGGCTTAGATATTTGGCATGAAACATCATCTAGTGAGTGTCTACCAAGTTTGTTCAAATAAAATCCCTGGGGTCAAAATTGGCCCCGCCCCAGGGGGTCATTGATTTTCCCTATATGCATATAGTAAAAACTTAAAAATTCTTCTTTAAAAGAACCCAAAGAGCTAGAGCTAAGATATTCAGCATGAAAGATCTTCTAATGAGTGTGTACCAAGTTTGTTCAAATAAAAGCCCTGGGGTCAAAATTGGCCCCGCCCCAGGGGATCATTGATTTTCCCTATATGCGTATAGTAAAAACTTAAAATATCTTCTTTTAAAGAAATCAAATGGGGGGCGGGTGAGATCATTGTTTTTCATTAGTGTAGTAAAAACTTAACATTGTGAAACATCTTCTAATGAGTGTCTTCCAAGTTTGTTCAAATAAAAGCCCTGGGGTTTAAACTTACCCCGCTCCGGGGGCCTATAAACAGGTGAGCGACCTCAGGGCCATCATGGCCCTCTTGTTTTATAAAAACCCCAGGTCTGATTTCATTTAAACTTGCCAGGATTTTTCCTTGAGTGAAAGGCTTCCAAAATTGTTAAAAAAAATTGATTCCATACAGAAATCTTGTTGCCATGGTAACCAAAAGGAATAATACAAAGAATGTTAAAAAACTTCTAGAACTAAAAGGCCTAGAGCATTGATGTTTTGTGTAAGGCATTGTCTTGAGGACTTTACCAAGATTGTTCAAATGAAAGCCCTGGGGTCAAAATTTAGATTGTTCAAATTAAAGCCCTGGGGTCAAAATTGGCCCGTCCTAGGGGCGATACGTTTTCTATATACATGTTAAAAAGTTTAAAAAAAAATTTCATCAAAACTACAAGGGCTAGAGCTCCGATATTCGGCATGAAAAAATGTCTAGTGAACATCTATTAACATTGCTCAAATTATACCTTTAGGATCAAAATTGGCCCTGACCCAGAAAGTTGTGACTTTTCTTCATATTCTCTTTGCTATAAAATAGTCATTTCATGAGTTAAATAATGAAATGTAAACAACTCATATTGGAACGTGTTTTTATACATGTGTACATGTTTTGCAATTTTCGTAAAAGAAAGATTAAATAGCTTGGAGTTTGTCTGAAGGTCATAACCTGTAGCAAGGGGGCATGTTAAGGCCGTTGTCTTAAAACAACTTGCCCCTCACCAATGTGGGTTCGAATCCCATCAGGGACTTTGGATTCTTTCATACGAGGAAGCTATCCAGTTAGCTTATGGAACGTCGGGGGTCCCCGTTTGTCCCTGAAATATGCATGAAGTGGCACCTGAGATCTTCCTCCACCAGTCATGACCTCCAGGAAGAGTGATGTATGCCTTGTAGGGATATTTTTCAAATTATCTGAGCACATTATAAGGACAATGATTCACAGCTTGTATACTTGTATATGTTCTTGTATAGAAACAAAAAATAACATCTGTTCCTACTTTTTAGCTCACCTATCACAAAGTGACAGGGTGAGCTTTTGTGATTGCTTTTCGTCCGGCGTCCGTCCGTTGTCCGTCCGTAAACTTTTACTTTAAATGACATCTCATAAACCACTAAGCCAATTTCATCCAAACTTCACAGGAGTGTTCCTTTGGTGGGCACCTTTAAAAATTGTTCAAAGAATTTAATTCCATGATGAACTCTGGTTGCCATGGCAACCGAAAGAAACAACTTTAAATATCTTATTTTAAAAAACCCAAAGAGCTAGAGCTTAGATATTTGGCATGAAACATCTTCTAATGAGTGTCTACCAAGTTTGTTGAAATAAAAGCCATGGGGTCAAAATTGGCCCCGCCCCAGGGGGTCATTGATTTTCCCTATATGCATATAGTAAAAACTTAAAAAATCTTCTTTTAAAGAACCCAAAGAGCTAGAGCTAAGATATTTAGCATGAAACATGTTCTAATGAGTGTGTACCAAGTTTGTTCAAATAAAAGCCCTTGGGTTAAAATTGGCCCCGCCCCAGGGGGGTCATTGATTTTCCCTATATGCATATAGTAAAAAATTAAAAAAACTTCTTTTAAAGAACCCAAAGAGCTAGAACTAAGATATTTTGCATAAAACATCTTCTAATGAGTGTCTACCAAGTTTGTTGAAATAAAAGCCCTGGGGTCAAAATTGGCCCCGCCCCGGGGGGTCATTGATTTTCCCTATATGCATATAGTAAAAACTTAAAAAATCTTCTTTTAAAGAACCCAAAGAGCTAGAGCTAAGATATTTAGCATGAAACATGTTCTAATGGGTGTCTACCAAGTTTGTTCAAATAAAAGCCCTCGGGTCAAAATTAGCCCCGCCCCGGGGGGTCATTGATTTCCCTTATATGCGTATAGTAAAAACTTAAAATATCTTCTTTTAAAGAAATTAAAGAGCTAGAGCTAAGATATTTAGCATGAAACATGTTCTAATGGGTGTCTACAAAGTTTGTTCAAATCAAAGCTGTTGGGTCAAAATTGGCCCCGCCCAAGGGGGTCATTGATTTCCCTTATATGTGTATAGCAAAAACTTAAAAAGTCTTCTTTGAAAAAACCCAAATAGCTAGAGTTTAGATATTAAGCATGAAACATCTTCTAGTGAGTGTCTACAAAGTTTGTTCAGATAAAAGCCATGGGGTCAAAACTGGCCCCGCCCCAGGGGTGTCATTGTTTTTAACTATATGTGTACAGTAAAAACTTAAAAAATCTTCTTTTAAAAAACCCAATGAGCTAGAGCTTAGATGTTTAGCATGAAACATCTTCTTATGGGTGTCTACCAAGTTTGTTTAAATAAAAGCCCTTGGGTTAAAATTGGCCCTGCCGGGGGTGAGGGGAGAGGTCATTGTTTTTCATTATATGTGTGTAGTAAAAACTTAACATCATGAAACGTCTTCTAATGGGTGTCTTCTAAGTTTGTTCAAATAAAAGCCCTGGGGTTTAAACTGGCCCCGCTCCGGGGGCTTATATACAGGTGAGCGACCCAAGGGCCATCATGGCCCTCTTGTTAATGTTGTAATAATGCGGTGGCGTCACAAATGCAATTTTGTTTCTTTCAAGTTTAGCGAAAGGGTGTCTCTGCTTTGAAAGATTACTCGGTTTCTATTTGGGCGTACATGTATATTGCCCACCTGAGCGGTTCTTTTGTTGGCCACCTGGTCACCTTTGACATTGAACGAATTTAAATGTTATCTTGTGACATATCTTATTTGTATGATACACCGACATGGTGAAGCAATCAACCTAGATCTGTTTTGGCCCTCTGTTATGACAAACTGGCCTACGATGTCCATCTTCTCATCTCTCAGACTTTTAGATCACCCCGTCTGTTTGTCATATGCATGTATATGTGCAAGCTTTTTACACCGTTATTATTGTATTTTTAAACAGTCTTGATTTGATTGGTTATTTATGTATCACTAAATAGTCGAGAAAAGGGTGTCACTTCTGAAAACAGAAAGAAACTGCGCTGTTGAACAATCGGGTATCTTCCAAGATTAATGTCTCGTGTATCATAATTATGGCGTCGGACTGCCTGAAAACTCAAACTAAATGGACGTTCAACTTGTCCACCAAACTTGCTCGTCTGACCTTGGTGCCTTTTGGCTTTCTTTTCCGTTGTGTTATAAATGCTTTAATATTGAGAGAAACCAGTATGTCTTGTAGTTAATCGTCTGTTTGAAAAATGATGCAACAAAACATGAACGTTGAAGCAGGGCGAGTACCATGAACATTTGATGGAGTAAATATATTATTCGTATTTATAAACCTAGTGACATAAGATTTAGACCGGAATCCCCTCATTAGGTCATACTAGCACAGACCCACACTACACTTGCTGGTGAGGTATAATAGCGCGATCCTACCAACAAACAAATGACCCTAATATAGAGCAAGCTACGCATATGATAGAAGATGTTCTATATAATATATATTGGAGTGGTCGAAGTAAAACAGAAAAGAAGAAAAAATGTTCTAAATATATTTTGGAGTGGTCGAAGTAAAACAGAAAAGAAGGAAAAAAGATCAAAGCTGTAGTACAATAATCTAATTATAGATAAAGGTGCAGTAATCAAAAACTTTGGTAAAATAATATAATAAGAGACAAAAGTGCAGGTAATCATTCAAAATATCATGTGACGTTGTCGTCACATCTGTTCCAACAATTTACCCAGGGCTGGTACTGGTATCAACTATTATGTTTGTTTATTTTCTGACAGCTGCTGCAGTTAAATATCAATTAGTACA